TTATGAGTTCAAGTGCTTTAAACACAAGAAATACATATGTTTTTGACTTATATTTTGCTTATCTTATCGAAAAACACGAGTTAATGGTTAAGAAAACAACAAAATCAATAATAAAATAAACGAAATTAGTAATTTAACTTAAAACCTATCAATATAGTTTATAGGCTATAAATGATTGACATTTCAATATTGTTTTTTTTATCACGTCAATTATAAAATTATGAAATATAATTAATTCATAAATACTACACAATAAACTCAATGCTATATCAATGGGGAAAACGGGATAATAATTATGAAACCGGGAATTGCGAAACAAAATACTAGTCAATCAAAAGCACGCAAACAAAGTCTAAAACTAACACAACTTTTTAATCACAAAATAATAGTCACCGAAAAAAAGACAAACAAAAATATACTGACCATTAAATTCACGGACAGTCGGGTGTCGGACACAACACAGTCTTTATAGACAAGTAGTGAACCCAAACGCTCGGCATTTGTCACCTCAAAGTCGGTCCACCGATACGTCTGTGTCGTCCCAATGGACTCCACTTTGGACTTAATGGCCAACAGGTTTGAGAGATTAGATTTGGCCAATTGTTTATAGGCGTCATTCAAAGTGTTTTGGGCGGTCAGCTCAACGCCGGGCACCGGTATGCGTGTCGGCCCGATAGCGGCCGTCTCGTGACCATCGATGGGCAGCGAAAGGCATTTCTGAAGCGGTTTTTGTGCTGATAATACCACAGCCGGGGGTATGGGTGGCGGGGGGTCGCGATGTGGGGCCGACACTGTCTGGTGTATATTAGGCGATGACTTGTTCCGCCTCCGGGCCGGCACTGATGGCCGGTTAGCTCTAGGCGTTCGCGGCGGCGCCTCCGGTCTCTGTACGGCATACACGTCGTTGACTACAGTGTTATAGACGGGCTCTTCGGGTGTTTGGCCAGCGATGGCTGTCATATCGATTGGGTGGACAATCGTAAGCGTCGTCCGATCGAACTCCGACTGCTTCCAGGCCTTGCGGTCCGCGCCGGACACCGTCGACGAGTCGGTAACAGTCACTCCCGACTGGGAATCGCTGGCAATGATATCCTTAGTCCTGGTATCGGGATGTTTGTCCGAATGGCTTTTCTTATGCAACAGTTTTCTTATGGACGAAAAGCGTTGTTTCGGAGGCGCGGCCGGAGTCGTGGCCACAGCTGTGGCGGCGGCGGTGGTGACCGTTGTTGTCGTCGTCGACGGGCTCTGCGACCGTTTCGGCTCCGGTTTGTTGACAATAGGTTTCTTAAGCTCGACATCAGTGTCACCGCCAATCACCGTATGGTCGCTGGACTTGTGGTGTCGTGCGGTGGCCGGCGGTTGAGGCGCCGGCCGTTTCATGTATCGACACTGTTCCAGCTCTTGAGCCAATTCGGCCAGTTTCAGGTCCCGGTGCTCCTGAGGAGTCGCCCTCCCATCCAGTGAGTGGTGATTATCGTCCGACGACGAAGTGGTGGAGAATTTGCCACTCATTCCCGACTGGTCTTCGCCGGAATCGCCGCCAATCTCTTGGTATATGTGTTCGGCGGCCACTCCTGTTGTCGGCGACTCCTGACCACTAGTGTTGACCACTACCACCACCTCGTGGTTATCAAATACCACGTGGGCTTTGTTGTGGTGATTATCGTTGTCTTGCATTAAATGCAAATTCAAGTGTTGAGTCTTCTGGTCGTTGCGGTGATAATCGTTGTTGTCTTCGGCGTTGCTTTTGACAGTTATGGTGATGGGAATGGCCTGCGGTTTGGCCGCCGCTGTGTTCATAATTGAGCTAATGTTGGGTTTGGCCGGCAATTGGGGTTTGCATTTGAATTCTGGCCTATAGTTGGCCACCGGTTTCGTGGGTTCGGACGCGTCGCTGGACTCACTATTGGTGCTCAATGTGTCCGACTCTGAGTCGACCCTCAAGTGCTGTATCACTTGAGCTGAGAAATCTGATCAAGGGCATAAATAGATTAGATTATAAACTTGTTCAAACACGCAACTGGAACTAACTAGCTGCCATAATAACTAGTTGCTATGATAACTTACCAACTCGTTTCTGTTGGTGTTGTTGTAGTTTCTGGTGCTGAGTGTTGTCGTCCTTTTCATCGCCGGACGAATAGCTATCGCTCGACGTAGACATCGGTGTGTTATCACAATTACCCGAATCGGGTGACTGTGTGTGCGGTTCCCGATCGTTGCCATCACTGCTGCCGTCACTACCGGTGCTGTTGTTATCGTCGCTGATATTACTGTTGAGGCAGTGGTCGTCGTTCGTGTCGTCGATCGTCAGCGCGATGTCCGCTAATTTGTCGCAAACTTCGGGTATAATTGTCTGAACAACGGCTGTATTGTTGGCCACAATCGGCGCCGGCTTTTGATTATCAACGGCCTTACCATTGGTAGTGATTGAGCCGTTGGTGGTGTGGCTGTTGTGGTAATGGACAGCGCGGTTCGGACCGCTAGTTGTGGTGGCAGTCGTACTGCCGTACTCTCTGATCTCGATCACCGGTTTGGTGGCCGGTGTCTGACCGACGGCTTTCTTATTTGGTCCGCAATTATCATTAATATGCGAAAAGTTATTATAGTTGGCGTTAAACAGCGTATTCTTATGGGTCAACTCCCGGAGCTCTTTGTCGTCGCTGGTGTACAGCGTGTCGTCTTCGTAGTCGTGGTCCGACTGGTCGTCATCGTCGTCCTCATCGTCGCTACTGTAGTCCTCATAACTGGTGTCTTCGGCGCGAATCACCTGCGGATCGCCCTCTTTGAACACAAGACACTTATTCTTCTTCGGCCGGAATTGGATCACCTCTTCGTCGATACGGTTGCACTTCAATATACCAGTTGACGGCATTCTTCTGGTGCCGTTTGTCGTTGTCGTCGGCTGTTGTTGTGCAGCACTTGTAGCCACTGATGCGCTACCACTGGAGGAGTTGTTCACCACTTGATCCGTAGCCAAACCAGAGTTGCGCTGATTTTGATGAATATGATTACTATTGTTGATATTTGCGACACTTTTCTGGCGCTGGATCTGTTGGGCAGTGATATTCTGGTGCTGTTTCTGGTCGTGATTTACTGGTTGTTGAGGAAATATTTTAGTCTCCTTTGCATTAGTTATGCAATTATTGCTATTAAACGCTAGGGTTTTACTCTTAACGTCAGGACAGGTATTATTAATATTGTTATTACTTTCCTTCTTGTCGTCCACACCAGACACAGGGCTGGCGTTTGAGTGGATAATGATTTTCCTGAAATTTTCACTGCAATTATTATTACTACTATTGCCAGCACTTGTATTACCACTACTTGTGTTAATATTACCACTACTACTGTATTGTCTTACATTGTCTTTAGTAGATTTATGATGATTATTATTACTACTATTGTTGTTATTAATGCCATTAATTACTTGCGAGTTATGCGCCGATACATGAGTCGCTGAATTTAATTTAATTTTCGTATTATTCATCACTATTTGCGGATTTGAAGGATTATTATTGCAATTATTACTACTATTGCTATTATGGTTGTGATTATTGTTGGTAACAATTGTGTTGCCCATAGAGTTAGTGTTGGGAATCACTTTTTTATGATTACCGGCCGATGGCTTCAGTGATTGGCAATCGTTTGTCACTAATTTTTGATGGCTTTGATTACTTGTTGTAGTGTTTGATATTTGGGTCACATTTATCTGATTCTTGTTGAGTAACGGCTTAATCGTTGATTGATTTGTTAACACATTTTGTTGAACCGTCCGGTGATTGCCATTCAATTCTATGGGTATTATATAACCAAAGAGTTATCAATATTTAGTATTCATTGCAAATGATTGCAATATTTTTAGTAAATATCCCAAGAATTTAATAACTTTATGGGAAAAATAAGTGCACAAAAAACCAGTGGTAGAGTTATTAATCAAATTACACTTAAAACTATATATTTCCAGACATTTTTGCCAGTATTTTATACAAAACACATATAATTAACACTTAACAGCAAATCGCTATAAAGTTAATCAAAAAAACTTTTTGTACATTATATAAGTTGTTGCGTGAAAATTATTTCATTATATCCTGTGATAATCGATATGAAAAAACAAACAATGTCGTTTTGTATTTGTACACTATTTAATTAAATACTGTTCACTATAGAGACGATCATACAGTGTGTATACACTCTGCGAGATATAACTGCTATGTAATTATGATATTAAAAAGTTATTTGAAAAATAACTAAAATAAATATACTGTATATGAAATATGTTGCCCAGAATTTAGGATTTCAGTTCAGTTGCCCATTAAACTGGTAACCAATAAACAGATCGTTATAACAAACCTCAAGTTATTTACCAAGTTATCAGTCAATAGAGAGCAACCAAACAAAAATAACAAACTTTTTTTAAAGCCTAAAACTAAATATTTTTGAAAAATATTATTTCTATGATTTAATTAAAAAGGAAATAAACTATAATTAAAATATTTTAAACACAACCCCATAGACAGGGATTGGTATAATACACGTGTGGTATAGAAGTATATAACTGGAAATATACTGAATTTTTTACTACTTTATAATGAATTCAATACACATTAACGGGTAGTCATAATAACAATTATTATAATAATAAAGCGCCTGTCCTTCAGTATATCCTATTATAATGTTATTTTTCCATATTTTTTAATATTCATAGTATTTTATGACAAAAATATATAATTATTTTCTACACAAACAGCAAAATATGCAAAAAATAATGATTAAACGTTTAGTGAATCTCTAAATATTTTGATTGCCATTGAAAACAATGAGCGACAATAGAGACTAAAAGTGATCATAATTTAAATAAAATCAAAAAAAGTTTTTGTCACTAATTTATAAAAGTGAAAAATCTAACACATTATTAGCCGTTAGAGAGACTAACATATCATTGAAAATAATATATAATTAAATTAAAACAAACCTTCATTTGTAGCATTTAGATGATTATGATTTGGTTGATGATGGGGTTGGGGGTCAACAGCGGGGGCAGTGGCGGAGGGGTTGGGCGTCTGGGCCAACCAATCATTATGTTCAACCTCGCTTTTGAAGCAATTAGAGCACAGGTCCTTTTTCCAGGCGTTTTGCGCAAAGTTTGCACATATGATGGACGGGGCACTCATCATAAGGTTAGGTATGTCTGGGGCGCCGGACACGCGTCAATAGTTGTTGCCCGGGTACGCGTAAACGCACCGGGATGTTGTGTGACTCAGCACCTGGTTTTTGCCAATGTGATCCAGGTAACCAGATTCTAATGAATTTGTATGCCTTTTATAAACGACAACACTATTGCCAATATGTGTGCTGTTATGTTGTAATTCTGTATGAGTTTTGGAAAAGTATGATTAGTCTTGTTTTCAATTGCAATAAATGATTGATAATTTATGTATAAATTAATATTTGTATTTGTAATACACACTTATATCGTACGCAATGGTTGGGAAATTTTAATTTAATTATCATCAATTAATAAACACAATATTGAATTATTTTGCTAAAATGACTATGATTGAATAACAATAAGTACCGGTTGCATTATAATTATTGCAAACACATTATATTTTGCATATCATAGTTAGAATATAAAGTTTATATAAAATAGATTTACAATACTGTTTGTACTGTTTTGTGGTAATAGTTTTTTACTTTTGTTTGATATTTAGTTGATATTTAAAATATAAATATCAATTGAAGAAACAAAACAATAAAAAAGCATTTTATACTAACAAGCAAACTATCGGATCAGCCACCAAGATATCTTCACCAATTGTCTCTATTCTGATAGAGTAAATAATAAAAAATAATTTAATGCTAATTAATTTTGCTGATACTCATCTAGGGGG